TCTTCAGGTAATTATTTCCAAACCAACATCAACCAGAGTACCAGGTAGATTTTGGGGGGCAAACTCAAGGACAGAGAGCAAAGGGGAACCATCACTTTCTCGTGCCCTTGACTCCTCTTCCCACCATAGGTGCAAGCAGAAGAGGTGTAAAAGGGATACAAGGAAAAGGAGTCAACGCAACAGGTGCTTGGTATATAGTCTCATTTTAAAGTGACATAAATGAAATGACATTTCACACAGCTGTATTTTATGATCTCAGATGTAAAAGTGCTAATGTTGTAATTCAATTAATAAAATAATGCAACAAGGCAAGATGTGCACGGAGAAACGAGGACGAGAGGAGGGCGAGTGTTTTAAATAACAAACATGAGCAGATGAGCTGCTTAAACGGTCCTCCGTCCACTAATGCTTGTATAGTCCAGCTGTGAACCATGTCTCCTTTATCCAGTGAAGGTAAAAACACTTCCACAACTATAGATCCTCCTGATGGTTCTAGGGAACACAGAAATTAATTTCAGGCTCACAGGCAGGACAGAGGAAACAAGGAGGTACAAACTAGTGAATGAGAGAAGCCCAGAGCACAATCCATGATGCTCAGCTAGAAAACATTGGACTACCCCACTGCCTTCCCCCCAGGTCAGGAGAGCATCCTTTGAGAGGTTAATCAAAACTGTTCTTCAGTGATTTCAAGGATCTGCAAATCTATTTTGGCATTAGATAATACCAGGTTGATATTAATAGTCTTCAGGACAATACTGAGAAAATCCAACAATCCCTTTTGAGAAACCTCAGAAACGGATTGAGGGGAGCAGAACATCAGCCTCGACCGGATTGGCTGATTGTAAAGTGAAGAGAGAGTATTTTCCATGCCAACATAATACAGCCAGCTTTGTTTAAACTTTGTGTTTTGCATGGAGGAAACATTACTCTGGGTAATTCGTTCCTACCTGTATTCAAAATGTTAAAAACAAAAGAGTCACCACAAAGATTAAATAATGACATTTTATTGGACTGGCCCCAAACAATGGCACACCCCCGGGTGTTACAACCTCTGTGAAATCTGTTAACCATGAATAGTGCAAGACAGTGTCACTGAGGTTTACTTCTTTTTTTTTTTTTACTTTTTTCACCAAACATAAATAGGCCTCCTGTGCAGTGCATTTCACCTAGTGCTCCAAATATCTCCAAACACATCCTTGAACATTTACACCCTTTGGGGGGACCTGAGGGGGGAACAAGAAAAACAAAATTAACACTTTAATAAATTATATAATCAGTTGTCTGTCACTATAAATATATTAGACCCCCCACAGCAGTACAGAGAAAGATACCCCATCACATCAAGCATTTTCCTGAATTTCACCTACAGATCCACAAACTCTGTTCAAAAGTCAGTCGAGGGACATTAACATCTCGGTTCCCCTCTCACTGTAGAGCCTGAATAAACAACATGGTAGATTCTGTTAAATATTCACACAGGAAATTAAAAAAAGAACTACTAAAGAAAAACACATTAACCTCTGTTCCAGTGTGGTGGCAGCTCGTCGTCGTCACGGGCCTCATCTCTGGGCCTGTGGTACATCACTTTCCACTGAGCACTCGTTTCTTTTCAACCCGTGCAAGCAGGAGACACAAGAGTGAGTGAAAGTTTAGTAAAACGACATGCACACAGTAGAAATGTATGAAAACTGAAACTATGCCACAGTAAAACCACACTTTATTTAGTCAATTAGACTAAAGAGTTTATGGTTTATTTTGCATTTGCATTTTTTTTTAAATCATATTATTTTAAAATATGACAAACACTGCTCACATCATAAGAAACAAACTATGAAAACCTGAACCACTCAGCTGATGCTGGTGAGCAGAATTTAAAACCAAGAAACAATAAAACTTGAAAGGACAACATTTCGAGTTGCACACCTTGTCTCCTCCTGGGAATCGCATCGCCTTCAGTCAGATCTTCTCTGCAGAGCCTCTCTGTGAGAGACGGTTCAGAGTCACTATAATGAACAGAAATGATCTGAAAATATCACAGAAGGAGGCGTCCTCGGCTCAGACTTACCTTGACATGTCCTACACTGCAGCTCGCCGCTGTCCATCTCGCCAGCCTCACCTTCACCTGCCTCTTGCTTGCAACCATCTCTCTCTTCGTCCTGGTCCACTGCATCCGTGGGCTCTTTGTACAAGCCTCTCTTATACAAAGACTTGGCTGCATGCCTTTGTGGTAAAGGGTGAGTCTTCCTCGGTGAAGAATGCTTCCTCACAACCACCCTGATGGGCTGCTCGCACCCTCGTCCATATCTGCCCTCATCCTCCGAATCTCCAGCATCGTCCATGTACATCTTTGAGCTGTGAACTTTGCTCCTGCCCGTCCCTTTAGCGAGGCTCTTCCCACAACACGCGCACACATACCTCTTCGTACCTGGCCGCCACACTTCCTCTACGTCCTCAGCAGCACGGGGGGATCCACCAATCACCTCGGTGAGCCGCCGTCCTGCGTACATGTGGTGCTGGGGAAAGAGGTCCACGTCGTCCAGATCTGTGGAGAACATTTCATCTCTGGAGGAGAGTTCATCCAGAGATGGACTAAGGACGCTCATGCGTTCGTGTGTTGGCTGCATGGACAGGTAGTTGTAGTAGTAAGGAGCAGTCGGGGAGCAGAGGTGGCCAGGTCCAGCAGACCCAGGTGTTAAAACATCATCGAACGGCAGCTTGAGGATCCGGTAGCTCCGATCAGCTTTGGCTTCATCCAAAGACACTGCTGGATGTTCCACCGTTGAGACGTGGTCTCTGTTTTTAGACTCCTGTACCGATGGCTGAATGGAGGAAATGGCGAGTGAAGCTGGAGTGGAGTTACGCGGCTCCTCGGCATCACATCTGGGAACACATTGATCAGTCACTGAGACATCTGACTGGATATCCATGACCTCTTCTTTCCCAAGATGGAGGAAACCTTCATCTACTGCTGACCGCTTGCCCTCAGGACACTCCTCATGGACAGAGGAGCTATCGAGGGGCAGTTCCTCTTCCAGTCTTCCTGCCCAACATCCCTGAGCACTCAGGGTACCTAAGATCATTTGGCTGGACTCATCGGCTGCAGTGGATTCGCCGAAGGTCACAGTAGTGGACTCTGAATGCAACATGTGAGCCTGCGCTTCATTCTTCTTTTCTCCTTCTGGAGAAAACATTCCTGAGGACTGGGACGCAATTCCGGAGTCGAGTTCTCGTTCGGCGCCCTGCAGTTCATTGGCTCGAATTTTATCCAGGCACTCTATGAGCTTGGTTATAGCGTCGCTGGGGTCAGTTTGGGCCTCCGAGCAGGCCGTTTCCCGACGGCCATGAGGCTGTGAATGGTAGTGATGCTGCTGCTGGCGAGGTACGTCGCCCCAGACAGGAGCGTGGAAGCGAGGCTCAAACATTCGCCTGTAATCCATCGGGTAAATAGGAGCATGTGGTAAAACAAAGCCAGGGTATTGCATGTACTGGTAAGGGTGCATGCAGGGGCGGCCAAAGTTAAAAGCTGGGAGGATGGTGAGAAGATAAAGGAAATGAATGGCAATGAAGCTGCACGCACCATCTGCAGGTTTAACGCAACAGTGGATGAGTGTACATACCTCCAGGCAGACCAAAGTGACTGTATGGGTTGTTGAGCTGCCACTGTGGATAGAGGTAGCAGGGCTGAGATGGTGGCTGGACATAGAAAAAAGGTCTGGGATGGTGATTTCTCTGTTGTCCACCCCCAAATGATTGTGGCTGTTTGCTTGCATCTACAAAAATGTGTTTTAAGATCATTAACAAGCAATAAGTAAACAATCTATTATTAAATTAAAGGTTTAATCAGCATGACATGAGATGAGATATTTAAGGCTGCCTTTACCGTCCATTTTCTTTCTCCTTCTTGCTCAGCCTGTCAGAAATAAAACCTCCTTAGGGATTAAAACAGCCACATAAACATCCCCAAGCTTCTGGAAATTAAACTCGTTCGTTTGTTTGCTTTTTTTCTCCTTCTATAGTTAAAGTTCCTCTAAACAAACAAAGGTAAAGACGTTTCCCACTCAGGTCCACATGACGCGACCATAAACCAAAGCTGAAACATCTCCGTTAATCAGTCATATAGGAAACAGCTGCAGCTCCTCCAGGGCTGCCTGCTTCAAGTGCAAACGGAGAAATCAGCATCGCGACCTGATCGGGTTAAAGTAACCCGAATAAATAAATAAATAAATAGTTAGGATTTATTACAGGGGGTTACAACCTAAAACGGACACACAAAATAAAGAGTCGGCATCAGTGAATAAGTCAGTTAAATTATGTTACGCCGGACAGTTATGTCTGAACATGCCAAATTCAGACCAACACCCTAAATCCACATGACAGTTATTTTATTTTATTTTATTTTATTTTATTTTATTTTATTTTATTTTATTTTATTTTATTAGCCGAAGGGTTAGACATAAGACATTAGACATAATTAAACAAAAACCGAACAAAGTCAGTTAAGGAAAATATCGATTTTAAAAAGGGCTCAGAATAGTACAAAGAGATCATGGCTAATGAATACTAAAACTCACGAATAAATATGGTTAATATGATATCCTATAAAAACGTTTTTTTTGTTTTTGATTCTGTGTATTTATTTGCATATTTGATTGTTTCTTTGTAGGGCCAAATCTTTTATTAAAAGCATAATTCTAATGTCACATAATTATTTGCCTATATATTTAGATCCGTAAGATTAATGAAAATTATATTATCTATTATTGTAAATATCAGTAAAATACTAGGGTTTTATTGTTAAGTGTTAATAAATAAATGTTTCAATAAATAAGAATGCAGGGGACTTTGCTCTTGTCGGTGGTTCTAAAATAAATGTCCATAATTGTTTTTCTCAAGTGCAGTGTCTGTCTCAGTCCTGCAGGGGTCGCTGTTTGTGTCTTCACCAGAGGACGCGGCTCGCTTGATTCCGGCGCAGGCGCAGTATCCTCTGTTGGCCTCTTGTCTTGGAGGCGCTTATGATGCGTTAAAAGGTTGTCCGCTGCTCGGACCTTCCACACAGCGTCTCAGCTCGGCACAGGGAGATCACTGCACGCTTTCTGTTGCTGGGAAGAGATCCCGTGACGGTTTAGAGTGTGGATCCTGCTAAGGTTTACAGTAAGCTAAATTTGTGTTGTTTTTTAGGCGTTCTGCGCGAGAAGTGGCTCAGCTTATTTAGCTCTTTTAGCAGCTAGCCTAGCAGTTTGTGTTTGTGTGCGTGTTAGCAACATGACCACTCTCGTTAGCTACTGCTATAACGCCCTTTTTTCATAGCAGCTTCTTTGCTGAGTTGATGATATTATATCCGTGATTTTCTAACTATAACAGCTCATCCTTCTCGCTAGCTAACTGGTAAGGTACACCGGAACTACGAAGCTAATGGGGAAGCTATAGTTGCTAACTTGCCGCGGGTGACTACTTGAGCCAGTGATATAACGTTACATAGAGGCTAGATGTGTAGGTACCGTAATCAACAGATGGGGGACCACCTCTGTGGAGGTACACGTAAGAAACATAGCCCCATGGTGTTTGCCAATTTCAACATCTGGCTAACGGTTCCATGTTTTAGACAGCACCGGGGTTTGTTTTGGACGTGGTGGAACGTGCTAACGAAGCTAGCAGTCCAGTTTCAGTGTGGTCCGAAAAATGTTTGGCCGGACTGAAAAAAATCTCAGCATTTATCTGCAGGATAACCTGTTAGCAGGCTGTGAGGCTGACTGCGTCCTCGGTGGCTGACTGGCTGCGTAAAAAGCACGTTTTCCAAGGTGTTGCTGGCAGATTGGGCCCGCATTAAGTGGAAGAAACCCTGTAGACGCATAAATGTGGATGAAGTTGTATCAATCTTGACAGTTGACAGCTGTTAATAAAGATAGATAGATGATCTTAGATCCTGCATCAGCAGAGTGATTTTCCGCGGTGCGTGGAACGTGCTAGTAAATTGCACCGATGCATAACCTCGAATCCGTTAGCCTGCAGACTGATGTAACACATGTTAGGTAAAGATTATTAGCGGTTTTTTTTTTTTCTTAATAACATCACCTTTGCGGCTTATACTCCATGGTAGATTTTCATAGGCCTGGGTGAGGTTGAGGTTCAAGACAGGTGACTAATTGGAGCTGGAAAACCCCTGCTTCAGTGTGGCTTAGTAAGACTTTTTTTTTTCTGGCAAAATGTGGTGACCCATCTTCCTTGCTTCTTGGCACTGCTACTGGTGATGTAACTGCATATAGAACATTTTTTAAAACATTGTTATTTCCTGAGGATTTTCACTCATTTTTTGTTTAATTGACAGCTGTGAACAAAGGTGAAATGAGATCAGATCAGGCAAAATGGTTTGGCGATTATTGAGAGTGCTTTAAAATCCAGAATCTCTTTAAGGTATTAGGTAGAGTTAGGATCTGGTGAAGACTTTAACGCACTCACCTAACTATTCAGTGACCTCTGAGGTCTGTACCGTAAACCAGTTGATCTTATCCAGGTAACATCAGAGTTAAACCTGGGTTTCCTGTGAAGGTGGTTTACTTTAGGATTGTGTTAGGAAGGGCGTTTGGTGTAAAAACTCTGCTACATAAACATTAGGAGCCTGTGGTAACCCCTTGCGCCAATGGAGAAGCCATGCTGTACACCAGCAAACAACAAAACATGTCTTTTGTGACTGCTACACCTGGAGTTACAAAGGGACTATTAAAAATGGACACATTGTAGCCTTTCAATAACAATTTTACAAAAAAAACCCTGTGAATCCAGATGCTGTCTTGTTTCTTAGAAGGGTTTTGGGTCGTTTCTAGCCAGGCTGTTTTCTGGCTTTTTCCTACTCTTTCCAGTTCCAGCGCGATACAGATGCTTGGCTTTGGGCATTTGTCGATGTTGAGTAGCAATTCGATACCAGTGTTAAATTAAATTGAGTGACTGGGAATCTTTTTGTAAGCTAATATCAGACTCGGTTCAATTGCACTCTCTCTAGTTTTGTAATATAACATTTCTATCCAGCCCAATCTTTTGAGTCAGACCAATATTCAATACAAATATTAGATCCATGCATCTCTTGTTGTTTCATCGCCTAAGTCACTAAACAGTGATTGCATATTTTTTTGAATTTTGGGGTGTAATTATTTACCATCTTCACCATCATCATGTCACCAAATCACTTCATACAACAGAATTTAGTCTGGGAAACAGTGCCTTTGCACAAAAAATAAAAACCATTACAGATTTTGAAACCTATATGTTTCTCGGGTGGGGATATTTTCCAGTGTTAACCTTTCCCACCCAGCAGGAAATGGTGTGCTTCAACTGATAATACTCTTTAGTGTGAGATCACACCGACTGCGCAGGTTAAAGACAAACTAATGTCAGCGTTATTTGCGCTCTCGCTGAAGAGCTCCTCAGAATTCAAGGCTGCAGGGCATGTGGGAAAACGGCTGCACTCGCTGACCAGCTGCCAGTGCAGCTTCTGGACGAGAGGGTGAAGTGAGAGCTAAGACTCTGACAGGAAATGCAATTTTTCAGGGTGTTCAATGCTCAGACAACCTAAAGAAATTCAGAGGAATGTAAAGAATTTGTAGATTTCTTATTTTTCCTCTACTGCTGGTTTCTCTGCATGTGAGACTCACGCTTCCTTTTTTCTTTTTTTTTTTACAGACAAGCACTGATGTAGCAGCTCGCTCTCTCTCTACCTCCGCTCCCCAGTGCCTCACTGCATGACCTCAGACAACAAATAGGAAGCCCACAAGGGGGAAACAGCCCGTTCCTCAACCCGGACCCCCTTCCTCTGGACACCTCGTGGTGATGCTCAGCTTTTGGCACATCTCTAGCAGAAGGAGCAACAGATATTTTTCGACATAGGTGTTGTACGCCTCCACTTGGGCTTGGGGAGTCATTAAAGAGTTGGCCCCTGCCCACTCCCCCTTCCCCATTTATCCTCTTGAATCTTTAAGATTGTAACTTTTTCTCCTGGTTGGCTGGAGTCCGGTTCTGCCGGCTGCGTTACTTTTCAAAACTGGGGCGGGATTCATGGGATGCGACCATGTCGGATCTCAGTGAGCGCAGGCCGGTCAACACGGACTATGCTGTCTCCCTGCTGGAGCAGCTCAAGTTCTTCTATGAACAGAAGTTACTGACTGACGTTGTGCTGCTGGTGGAGGACACGGAGTTCCCGTGTCACAAGATGGTCCTGGCCACGTGTAGCTCCTATTTCAGGTGAGTGCGCCTCACGGAGATGGAATAACTCACGTTGTGCGCGTCTGCTTTTAACAGCCTCGGGCTGCTTGTGACTCTAAATGCGAAGAGATGTACGCATGCTGTCTTTATGTAGCCTGGCGAGGTCTGTGGGTGCTCACCTCCCTCAGTTTTAATGAATAATGCATCTTGTAGTAGAGCAAGTGTTACCTGCTCTATATAAAACAAGTGGATGGGGTTTCCTTGAGTGCTGGAATGTCCTCTACACCAGTTGAGGGTTTGACATAACCAGGAAAAAAGTTTGTCAAGCAAGCACAAGCTGAAGGAAGTCAAATTCCTTGTTTGTGTGAACGAACTTGGCCAAAAAAAAGATGATTCTGATTAACGAAAGTGTGGTAATTAAAATAAAGAGGCTCATCGGGGTGGTATTAAAAATATGAAGGAAGGCATGGTTTTGAGACGCAGTCTTTCTTATTAAAATGCATGCTGTCATCAGGACTAGACAGCATGCAGTTTAAAAATAGGTGAGTATTGACTGTAAAATGTATTTTAGTGTCTGCCTGTTCGACAGAAGTAGTCTGTTTTATCAACAAAAACATTTTTTTTTTGGGCAGCAATTTCTGATTAAAGCCTTCACCAGGAAGACGGGTGTAAAAGATGGTCTGCTTGAGCCCAAACTAAGGGACTGAACTGCTCTGGTCTGCACTATGTACCACGGCCGAGCTAAAAGGGAAGGAGCCAACATGTAGCCCGGGACAGACACAGATGGAGGCAGAGAGTTGATGCTGACGAACCAGTAAAGATGATGTAGCTGTCAGCAGAGATGGAGACAATCTAGACAATTTCTAGAGTTGACAGTAGCAGTGCTCATGACTGTATTTAAAGTCAACATTGGAAGGTTAAAGTTCGCAAGACCCCATAAATCAAACCACCTGCTCAGCTAACTCAAACATTAGGAGATGCATGTCTTCAATTTCTCACACGGTGACAAACCTGCAGAAGTAAGAACAGGTTAAAATAAAGCTGCAAGCAGTCGAGGCGTATCCTGCAAGTATGTGGATGTCTTTAGCCATGGATTCTACTTGGATGTTGGACAAACAAAACTTGCTAGGTGGTGTTGGATACCCCCTCATTATGTGTTTAACCTGCAGTGGAAGTGTTATGTGCATGTTTATCACGTTGTTCAGATTTCCTATTGCTACTAGCAATCACAGTAACTGAGAATTATTACTGGCACATACATGGTTGTTATCACACGTAGTGCCTGTAGTGATCAAAATTGTGTAATTTGATAAACCATTTCCTGCTTTTTCTTCTTCTCTTGTCATTTTTCAAATCAACTGGAAGAGAATGAATTTAAAGAGAAACTCCACCGTGAACCAGGGTTTGAGTGGTGAATTTTTAGGGGAGTGTTGGCCATTTACAGAAGTTGCATCAATAACTCTACATGGATTCGGTGCAGAAATAGAAATTGAGCTTTTGCCTGATTGTTGATGTTAAGCTAAGTTCAGTGATAAGGTAGGTAGATGCTGGTTTTGAACCTGCTTTGTAGTACGGGCACTGAAATATTTATGCATGGGGGAAAAAAATGAAGCAAACATATCACTCAAAGCCCCCCCGAGGCCTCATTTGTCCACACCACATTGCATGATAAAGGGTGTGCAGTGTAGCAAATAAGATTCTGTGCATGATGGGAGCTCCTGCAGCATTTGAACACACCATCTACCTCCTTCCTGTCTCATTGCATGCACTCCAAGAAAAACCTCCCATCAATTCAGACCTCTCACAACCGTTTCCCATGCAGTCGTTATCTGGTGTGAACATGGGAAATGTTTCCCCTTCGGGGTGTAGAGGTGTCGCAGCACTTTCTCTTTAAAGTGGAGCCTATTCTTCCTCTTTCTCTCCACGCATGCCTCTCTTCAAGGAATGGAGGGCGGCTGTGCAGAGCGCTTGTGTTTATAGGGGGAAAGTCTGGTCACGTAGGTCCTGGTGAAAGATGGAGAGCAAAAAGTGGGGAAACAAGGGAGGTGGGGGTGTGCAGGGGTATGCCTGCAGGATTGCGTAATACAGGCTGGCAGGTTTGGTCGCTGTTGTGATCAGCACACAGACACACAGCCCCCAAAAGCCAGTCTTCAGGTGGACAGAGCTGTTCTTTCTTTTTCATACAGTGATTGCTTTGAAAAATAAAAATTAGAGCAGCATGTTGTAGTCAGCTGTTTATCACCTTTGAACATGTCAGAAAACATTCAACAGTGCTCACCAGAATGTCAAAAAGCTGATATATTGAAGGAGAAAGGCTTCAAATCCTCCAACCAGTGACTGCGAATTATCTTCCAGATGTTTTTTTAGAGCAGGGGATTCTCTGGATTTTAAGTGGGCCTAGCAAATTACGAAAGGGTCCATGTCTCCCCCCCAAATTTGATTGGTTTTCTAACTAAAAATCGGTAAGGAAATTAAGTGTTGGTGTTTTCGGCCCCCCCAAAATAGTAGTTGTGCAGTAATACACAGTGCCTCTGAACACTCTGTATCTGGCACAGAATCCAAATAAATGTAAATTACCATCTCAAGCCACTAACTGTTCCTCAGATTTGTAAATCTGAATGAACTGATGCAGTAAAGGAGGCTCTGATTCACACCAGCTGCTGATGAATGACAACATGGCAGCGTGGGCATCCCACCGAGGCCGCTGATGCAATGTGGGGGTTGGAGACTACCAGCCAGGTGCTGGGTGTTGCTTGTCGCCTTTTGTCATCTGGTATTAGTGAAACAAGCTTATTAGTGTTCAACAAGACAGCAGTAACATCTGTTCCAGGGAAATCAGTGATGCTGCAGTGTTTACCACAGATTATGAACTCCAATACAAAGAGTCGGAGCTGTTTTGTCAAAGGTACTTGGTGAAAATAACTTAAGTCTGCTCTTCAGCCTTGGTGACTTCATGTAAAAATACATGAAGTAGGTTGGAGTGATGCTCCAGAGCAGAGGCAGCCCAAGGTGATGAAGTTGGAGAAAATCAGCTGACCTGAAATCCTATCATTGATGTTCTTGTAGGTCACCGTATCTTTAATGTGACTTTTGGATAAGTTAGTCTTCATATAATTTTATAATATAAAGATGCATGACATAACACAACCAGTTGTTAGTTAGTGTTACCCAGCATGCATGTGCCGTTACTGGTGTAAGAAATGGTTTGTTTCACCGATTTTTGTGTCTCTGGATGTTTGCCCCGTTAAACAGGATCAGTTTTGGATTAATAATTGTTTTCATATTAATGACTCACAATTAGAACCTGACAGATGGATAAAGAATTATCAGTCCTGTGTTTCAGTCAGACATGATTTGAACAGAAATGTTAAAATGAGGTGACAAACTTACTTTAAAGTGAAGCCTTTGTGTGGGAAATGCTGAACTTAGTTCTGACATTTTATACAGATATTAAGAAGTATTAATAAACTGGTGTCATAGTAGTATGTTAGATGGATAACTGGCAGCTATAATGCCAGAGTTACCTGTAGAAAGTAGAGGTGGGA